CTGGGCAAGACTCCATCTCAAAAAGAAAAAAAATTTACCAGGTGTGGTGGTGTATACTTGTAGTCCCAGCTACTCAGGAGGCTGAGGTGGAAGGATAGCTTGAGCTTGGGAGGTTGAGGCTGTAGTAAGCTGTGATCGTGCCACTGTACCAGCCTGGGTGACAGAGCGAGACCCTGTCTCAAAAAAAAAAAAAAAGTTTATATGATTATATGAAACCAAAGGAACTGGTCATTTCTGTCCCATCTGCAAAAGTGGTTTAGACACTAGTGTTTATTAATGCTAAACTTGATTAAGCAAAACAAAGCATAGATCTAAGCAAAACAAAGAATAGATCTTAAGAGTAGACAAAAGCAAATAAACTTGTCTCTGATGGCAGAAGCTTGAGGCACAAGCACATTAAGTATTTTTATATTTCTTGACCACAGTGGACTCTGCATTCATTCAGATATTTTCACAAAGGCCTACATGCATACTCCTGAGCCCAAGTCAGTTCCTCACTCAGTTCCTTTGCTTCCCCGCTTTGAATAAGTCACTGAAATTTGGGCCCCAAGGCCATCTACCTACTGAAAATTAAGTGATCACTGTCACATTAGGTACCAACCACTCTGTTCCAAAACACCATGAACAGTTGGAGGAGGCTGCCAAGGGTAAGAGACTAAAAGGGAGAGAGGTAGTTGTCACTATTGTGTTGGTCCATGCTCTCAAATTAATGGACATATTTTCCTTTTAAAAGTCATAATTGGCTGGGTGTGGTGCTCACGCCTGTAATCCCAACACTTTGGGAGGCTGAGGCAGGTGGATCTCCAGAGGTCAGGAGTTTGAGACCAGCCTGGCCAACATGGTGAAACCCTGTCTCTACTAAAAATAAAAAAAAAATTAGCCAGGCATAGTGGCAGACGCCTGTAATCCCAGCTACTCTACTCGGGAGGCTGAGGCATGAGAATTGCTTGAACTCAGGTGATGGAGGTTGCAGTGAGCCGAGATCATGCCATTCATTGCACTCCAGCCTGGGCAACAAGAGCAAAACTCTGTCTCAAAAAAAAAAAGAAAGAAAGAAAGAAGAAGTTGTAATTAATGATGGCTAATCTCACACACAGTTTAGGGAAAAATGAGATCGATTTTTTTCCTCCACTCTTGATTTCTCCAGTTCAGTAGTCCCCAAATCAAATTTCACTGATAATTGAAATAACATCAGTAGCTTTTTTTTTTTTTGAGATGGAGTCTCACTCTGTTGCTCAGGCTGGAGTGCGGTGGCACAATCTCGGCTCACTACAACCTCCGCCTCCTGGGTTCAAGTGATTCTTCTGCCTCAGCCTTGACAGTAGCTAAGATAACAGGCGTGTGCCACCACGCCCAGCTAATTTTTTTAATTTTTAGTAGAGATGGGGTTTTTTACCATGTTGGCCAGGTTGGTCTTGAACTCCTGGCCTCAAGTGATCCACCTGCCTTGGCCTCTCAAAGTGCTGATATTACACGTGTGAGCACTTTGGGAGGCTGAGGCAGGTGGATCATGAGGTCAGGAGTTCGAGAGCAGCCTGGCCAACATGGTAAAATCCCGTATCTACTAAAAATACAAAAATTAGTAAGGCGTAGTGGCACACACCTGTAGTCCCAGCTACTTGGGAAGCTGAGGCAGGAGAATCGCTTGAACCTGGGAGGTGGAGGTTGCAGTGA